TTCACTCCCTAACTCAACCCTCACTGTTCCTTTTTGGCCTACCTCCACGGAGGCTGACTGCGGAACTCAAAGGACAGGCAGAGCATTCAATGATCACAGGTTACATAGCAGACTACTCAGCCACTCTTCAAAGAAAACACTCTGCTACATTTGCCTTCTCCCTAGATGTACACACATTCCCGTGTTTGTATTCAAATGCAAGCATAACACTTCAGCTCTGAATGCTTCAACATGTATCTCCTCCTCAGTACAAAGACATTTTCCTACATAAACAGAATAGTATTATCATATCAGATCCATTTAGCATTGAATTTCCACGTTAGCAAACATATAAACCATATTCTAGTTCCCCTAATTATTAAAAAAAATGTTATTTCTAGCTTTTATCCACTGATTTAGGACCCAGCCGACATCACCACTTAGCTTATTTAAGGAAGGAGACATGAAGACATCCTTAACATTATGTAGAAAGGAGTGTTCTGAACTCTAATGATTTGTCTTTTGGAAAATGCCTATGCGTAGAGGTAAGTTATCTTACTCAAGCCAAAGGTTCGTCCCTAGATCTTGTCTTCTCAACTGTACCTTAGAGGGGCGGAAGACAGGAAAACAAGGAAAATATCCCATAGAACACTCCATACCCCCAGGCTATATAGTGCCTATTACTATAGCTGGCTGGTTCTCTAAGACAGCTATCATGGAGTCCCAGTAAAGATTCAGTGGCCCTCTCAAACCTACCTTAACGGCTGGAGAGACCAAGGAGCTGGCCCACCCGGTGCACATACTCACCACGCCTCCCTTGTCCCCCTCCATGAACTGAACAATCTGGCAGGATGATTTCTCCCAGAGGAAGATGTGCCCGCAGTCACTACCGCTCACCACAAACTCACTCTTGGGGCCATAGAAATTGACGCCTTTTACTGAAATGATAAATGAGGAAACGAACCACATGAGGGTTGGCAACAAGCCTATTAATTTTTTACCTCACAGGAAATTTAGTCATTGAGAAACTCTAAATCAGCCAAAGAGCCAAAGAAGCTCTCTTATTTTCACCAAACAAATCGAGATGATAGGGGTGTAATAGCTGTAAGAATCACACCAGTCTCAGAGACCATTTATATTCTCCTGAGGACCTCCACAGGGCCGAGGAGTCTGCATTCCCTCAGCAACAGCCTCAGCCTTGCTATTCACAGCCCCTCAGGCAACCATAGACCTCACGAATGCCTGGCCTGTTTGCACTTGAGTCACCCCAACCCTGCCCACTCTGCAGCAACTGTCCTACACTGTAGGACTATCTTTGGTTTGTGCACTTCACTGGTACCTTAGCAGTGTTTCTTGAGTCATTAGTTGGTCTGGGATGGATGAAGGTAAATGCCACAACCACCCCTAAGAAGCATCTAAACTGTGCCTGCAACCAGGACTCTGAATAACTGCGTTCCACTTGCTGGAATCAGTAAAAGCAGCAGAGTCTCAAGTGCCATGGCCGGTTCTACACCAGTCACCCTTACTTTCGATGTCTGTGGACTGAGAGCTAAGTGCATGTTTCCCCGTCCCTTCTTACCAGCCCAGAAAACAAAAAATGAACTAACTGCTGTCTCCAAGTCAAAATAAGGAAAATCCTAGTATGAAGAGTGGTAACAAATGCACAGAGCAATAATCCTTCAATTTTTTGAACATTCCTCTATTTAAATTCTCTTTCATATCAATTGAATCAGAATGCTATGGGATGGGAGCCAGGCATCTGTATTTTTAAAAGACTGTCAGGTGACTGCAATGTGGGTTTGGAAACCATGGACACAGGACAATAAAGGCCAATCTTCATTTGCAAATTTGGGTTAGATACTACTGCCATTCCTCCTCCTCTGCCTCACTCACAAGAATCATTTCCTCCTTCCTCCCTAGAGGCTTGACAAGCTTACTCCTGATTTTAGACAATCCACTGATTAAAGTGGGCCTTCCCTACCTTCCTAACAAGCCCTCGTTGTCTATTCTAAAGGTACCAGAAATCATTAAGAAAATGAAAAGTCGGGCCAGCTGGCAGTGTGGTAATTAAAGCAGATAGATCCCACACGGCCAAGTGTGCAGTCCGAGCCCCGGACCCTGCGCTTGACGTCTGCGTGTATGCCCCAAATCCTGCAAGCATGGAGGAGAAAGGACTGCAATGTGGTCATCCCCTGTAGGGAATGCATTCTCACTTTCTGTCTGTCTCTCTCTCATATACACACCCCATAGCAAACTAAAACAAAACAAACAAACAAAAAAAACACTTAGAAAAAAAGTCAGTCTGGTCTCTTCATGCCTAAACCAGGAAGCAACATCAAGGCAGTGGAGAGAGGTGGTCTTGAGCCCTCTCTCTTACATTGTGGAGATAACATGAAAACTCCAACCCAACTGGGAAATAACCTATCTACCCACAGCAATACAGTCAGTTTGTTCTTTGGGTAGTTCTCCTTTGTACAACCTAAAGGATACTGTGGTTCTCCAAGTCACTAGATCAGGTCACAGAAACTTAGAAGATAGTCTCACCTGTGGCATTATTTCTGTGGCCCTTATATCTCTTAACATACTGAGCCCCATCACTGTGAGAGGAGTTGAAAAGGTAAATGTCTTCATCATTGTAACTGGCCAGGAGCTCTGCCAAGAACAAGAACATAGCAGTGAAGGCAAAGGCTGAAAACAGCAGGGGTCAGGAACTAGGGCTTGGGGCGAGGCTTCCTGCCAACAGTGGCCCCTCCTAATACCCAGGCATGGCACCCATCTTCCTTGGTTGCAACAGCAGGCAAGTCAGGCTGTACAGGGCAGGCTAGGAACACACTGCCAACCCAGGGGCAGCAGGATGCATAGGAAGATCACACCCGTTAACTCAGGAATGAGTCCAAGGCATAAGAACCTGCTCAGGCAAGGAGCCTGGGCTTCAGGGCAGGCCCTGCCAAGCATCACCTGCAGCACTCTGCACGTGGTGCCTGGCATATCCGAGGGTCATCGCTGCATCCTCCCGCTATGTGCTCTCCATCAGCACCTACTCCCCAGCTGCTCCACCTGGAGCCAGAGCACGGTGGTGAGCACTGGAGGGCACATGCCTCACTAGCTCAGCAGCTCCCTAGACAGAGGGGGCATGCCAGCCTAGGAGCTGGGCCCTGCTCACGTACCTGTGCCGTCGTGGCTGTACACAAGACAGGTGATGTTTGCTTTGGACTCACTGTTCACCTGCAATAAGGAGCAGATACTGACTGATGCCCCACCCCCCCATTTGTTACACCACCTTCAGGAAACAGGTTTTCCTTCAAACTCCCCTATAACTTCTCCCAGAGACTGAAAGGCATACAGACAGATAGGACAACCAATGACACATGACCACGACAGGGGGGAGAGTCTTAGGGACTTCTCTTGGTTGTTTTCTGTACGCTGGATATTTTATATACACTATCTCATTAGACCTTCCATCATGGTGGCAGGCAGTTATTGTTATATTTATTTGTTGAAGAAAAAACAAGCTAACAGAGGTGACGTGACTGCCCAAGATCACAAAACTGGTAAGTGGTGAGCCAGGATTCAAATTCAGGTGTCCAAGCTCTCCCCACCATACCAACAAGACTGGGGACAGCCTGGGGTGCAGTAAGGGAAGCCTGGAGTACTGGTCTTTCATGAATCTTACCAGGTGATGAGGACAGAATTTCTTGAGTACTCCATTGTTCTCATTCTCATCAATTTTTCTCTGGTCATAAATTCTGTAGTGAAAAAAGCAATGAAAATGTCAAAACTTACAAACTGATCCACAGAAGAGTTGTAATTCATCATGGCAGGAAGCAGCCAACAGGATGCAGACAGGGCGTATTTTCCCAGACAAGCTTATGTTCTTCCTTAAAGGTCCTCCCTCCCTCGATCCATTTCCAACTCTTTCATCCAGGTGCCTCCCACTTCAAGTAGCAATCTTCAATGAAATCAGCTGGAAGTGGCTTACCTTTCCTCTCAACTTATGTCACTTTCTGTTTATTTTCACTGACACAACCCACATTATTAAAGAGCTTTTTTTATGTGTATGTTACCTATCCCCAAAGGGCTTATTACTCAAGGGCAGAGACTATGCTTTCCGCAGTGGGTCATCAATGGGTCATCAATCCCGCCTGGAAACCTTATTTGGCCAGCTCTCCTCCTCATACTCCACAACTAATCGTCACCTATCTCCATAAGACTCCAGCTCCATTCTTCGTTCCTACAGAGCAAATTACCTCACTTCTCTCTCCAATCCAATTTTCCAATTCAAATATTTACATGACATATATTATGTGTTACTATTGTGCTGGGTGCTAGAAACAGAGAAAAGAACAAGACAAAGGAACAGCCTCATGGCCTTACAATTAAGGGAGTCAGATCCCACATGGTTGCTCATGTAGTTCGAAACCCAGACCCAGCAGTTTGAAAAACACACCACACACGTGCGTGTGCATGCTCAAAATCCTGACAAGATGGAGAGATAGAGAAGAAAGGACTGCAGTGTGACCACATCCCACTGGGAGACTGCTTTCTCCCTTACCTTCTCTGGGGTACACACGCCCTCTGGCAAAAAAAAAAAAAGACAACCACGAAATTCATATTTCAGGTATAGGGTAGAATATGTATACATGCAAGGTAAAAAGACAAAGCATGGTGTGTTCAAGAAAATACAGTTTGTTTTGTTTCAGAAGGGGTGTTCTGTTTTTGCTTTTTTGGTACAATGTATAGGAACTGAATCTGTTTTGTTTTTGTTTTTGTTTTATTTTTGCCAGAGGGCTCATGTCCTTGCCAGAGAGAGATGGAGAACGAAGAAGGAAAAAGCACTCCCCACTGGAGTATGGTCAAGCACACTCCCTTCTCTTTCTTTTCTCCATCCTCTCAGGATTTGGGGCACAAATGCACACACATGTGCCCAGTGTGACTGACAAGCTGCTGAGGCCAGGATTCAAACCATGTAGTCAGTCATGGGAGACTGACTCCCTTAAACACCAGACCACAGAGCCAGCCCCACATCTGTTTTGTTTTGTTTTGTCTTTTTTGAGAGGTTTTCACTATAGGGCGTGTGCGCTCACCAGGCAGACAGAGAGAGACATAGAGACAGAAAGCGAGAAATCACCCCCCAGGGGGGATGGTCACGCCGCAGTCCCTTCTCCTCCATTCTCCTCTCGGGATCTTGGGTACGCACGCACACGCACCCGGCGTTGAGATTTAAGCCACCGGGTCCGGGACGCAAACCGTGGTCGACTACGTGGGAGTCCAGCGACATAGCCATTACGCTAACTGCTGGTTCCCCCCACATCTGTTTTTAATATTTCCTCTGTGAGAAAAAAAATAGTGAAATGATTTCCACTATATTTAAGAGGTCTACCTCAAATTCAAATAATAGTTCAGCTACTTACTAGCTAAGTAATACTGGTGATGTTACCGGATATCTTTAATGCTTATAAACCTGTTTCTCCAAAACGCTCCTTAGAGACTATGTCTATCTAATCATGTATCTCACATAGAGGAGATGCTCAGTAAATCCTAGATAAATAAACGAATCAGTCAATATATCTTTGTACTCTCTGAGATCCCCTGCTTAAGAGATATCACCAAGGAAATCTCCAAGATATCCTACACAAAGAGAATATCCAAGACATGTTTACTAAATGAACCAAACAAAAAGGAAAAAGGGAGATGACCAAACTACAACTTACTATTCTTCAGTAAATGTATTAGCTGATAATATATTGTTTTCATAACTAAGTTTAAATCAGTATATTTCTAAAAACTTTAGGAAGTCAGATACTGTGTAAAAAATATTTATATATTCAAGCTCCATGAGTTGCTTTTAACATGTAGACTGTCCTGTGGTCCTCAGTCTCTAACGCTCTTTGCCCTTTTTAGGAATTGTCCTACCTTCCTTTCTCTTTCCTCCATGGTTTTGTTTTTGTTATAGTGTGTGTACACACTTGCCAGAGAGAGAGAGGATAAGAAACCACCCTGCCCTCCCCAAGGGGAGGGCCATGCCCCAATCCCAACTCCTCCATTCTTCTGAGGGATTTTGGGCACACACAGCCTATTTTCAAGCAGCTGGGTCCAGGACTCAAACCACAATGTCGGCCATGTAGGATTCACTTGCTTTAACCACCACATCATCAACTGGCTCTCCTCTGTATTTATTCTATTATATTCTTGGTATGATGTTAGACCAGCAGTTGGCAAAATTTTTCTTAAATGGCAAGATAGTAAATATTTTAAGGGGGCAGACGATCTGGTCTGTCACAACTACTGAACTCTGCCAAATCTTCAGCAATAAATTTACATGCCAATCAATTACACTGCTAAATCTATTGTCACAGAGGCCAGCAGGTGGCACGGTGATTAGGGCGCTGGATCCCACAGGGCCAGACTACTCTGTTAGAGTCCCAGTGGTTTGAAAAACACATGGAAAGGGAACCAGCAGTTAGCGTAATGGCTATGTCGCTGGACTCCCACGTAGTTGACCGTGGTTCGCGTCCCGGACCCGGTGGCTTAAAACTCACGCCGGGCGCATATGCGTGCGTCCCCAAGATCCCGAGAGGAGAATGGAGGAGAAGGGATTGCGGCGTGACCATCCCCCCTGGGGGGTGATTTCTCGCTTTCTGTCTCTATGTCTCT